CGTTCTTTTACCTGTCCCCCTGCCGGAAGCCCAGGAGGATTTTTTCTCTGATACTCACTGTGAGAATCTAGTAGAGCTCCAGGAAGTAAAACTCACAAAAGTGTGGGGATCTTCTAGAGTTTTTAACTCTCAGACTTGTCCACACTGAAACTCCAGCAAATCTCGGTACAGTTCAGGTTTCCCTCCCTAGGTACTGACTTCTATGGAGGTTCCTGCCTGTGTGTTTCTGCTGCAGCAAGTTGTTCTCTGTAAGGTTTATCTTTAGAATATTTGGGGTAGTGATTTGCTCTGTCATCTCACTTCTCTGACAGGTCTAAGAGTGTTGATTTTTCAGTTTGTTCAGATTTTTACTTGTTGTTAGGATGGAGTGGCAACCTCCAAGTTTTTTCATTACATACTAGATCAGAAACTGGAAGACCTAATCCTAATATCTTACAGATGGGTATGCCCTCACCATGTCTACCCCAGTTCACCCAGCTCACACTCTTTTGCTCCTCCTTGTCCCCTTGTGAGACTTTTTTTTTTTTTTTTTTCAGAGTCTTACTCTGTTGCCTGGACTAGAGTGCAGTGGTGTCATCATAGCTCACTGCAACCTCAGACTCCTGGGCTCAAGCGATCCTGCCTCAGCCTCCTGAGCAGCTGGGACTACAGGCACATGTCACCATGCCCAGCTCATTTTTTAAGTTTTTGTAGAGACAGAGTCTCACTAAGTAGCTCAGGCTGGTCTCAAACTTCTGGACTCAAGTGACCCTCCCACCTCAGCCTCCCAAAGTGCTAGGATTACAGGTTATGAGCCACCATGCCCAGGCCCTTGTGAAATTTCTAGGTCCAATACCAGGACTGTGTTTAATCTACTTTGGCTCATCTGAATATATGAGAAACAGCCACAAAACATGAAGAAAAAGAAAAATCCATCAAAGAATCGAGTTGAGAAAAAGAAAGGAGATCACTTTTTTACAAAACTTAAAAATAGATGTTTTTATATGGAGCTATCTTAAAGAGATACAAGTAGAAGTACCATTCAATCCAGCAATCCCATTACTGGGCATCTACCCAAAAGAACAAATGATACTGTATAAGAAAGACACCTGCACCCAAATGTTTATAGCAGC